CTTGGTTCGAGAAAACGAGACCACGACCCAGGAGCCGAGAAAACGAGGAAACGAGAAAACAAAGCAAGATCAGAGAAAGCGAGACCACAACCTGGGGGCCGAGACGACGAGAAAACGATAATACTAACCAGCGTCCAAGAAAACAAAGCCACGACCCAGGGGCCGAGAAAACGAGAAAACGAGAAAACGAAGCAGGGTCCGAGAAAACTGGACCACGACCCAGGCGCCGAGAAAACGAGAAAACGAGAACACGGACCAGGGTCAGAGAAAACGAGACCGCGACCCAGGAGCCGAAAACACGAGAAAACAAGAAAACGAACCAGGGGCCAAGAAAACGAGAAAACTATAAAAGGAATCAGGGCCCGAGAAGACGAGACTACGAACCAAGGGCCGAGAAACCAAGAAAACAAGAAAACGAACCAGGGGTCGGCGTTATTCACCAATGCGTTCTCTGGCGCTGCGGTGCGCACCTGTCGTCAAGGATCCCGCCATTTTGCCAGAGCCCCGGAAGGGAGGGGGGGGGGAGGTAGCTTCGGAAGCCCCCCCCTTTGCAAAGGAGGGGGGGGGAGGGGTAGCTTGAAGCCGCCACCCCATTGTGCCCCCGCCTTTGAAAGGGAAGCCCAGGCTCCCCGTCTGCTCCAGAAAAGGGAGGGAGCGGGAGGTAGCTTCGAAGCCCCCCCCCTTTGGCCAAGGCCTCCCTATATTAGAAACCCTTACAGAAGGGAGGGCGGGGGGTAGCTTCGGAAATTCCCCCTCTCTTTTGGAAGGGAGGGGGGGGTAGCTTGAAGCTGGGGCCCCCCTTTCAGTACTCCCGGCGCTGCGGGCGCGCTCTTTCGGAGGACCGCAGGACCGCATCATAGTTACCCTCGCGGAGAGTACGGAAGAAGAAGAAGCCATCAGAGGTGCCTGGAGAGCTGGCGAGTCACAAGAGCTGGTGGTGTGTGCGAGGAGATCAAGACTCATATTTCCTGTCACTGTTGCGCTCGGTTCCCACAGTGACCTGGCCACCCGCGACGCAACGCGCTGCGTGCGATGCAGACATCAACGTTTACCCTCGTCCGTTGAGGACCGTGCTGGGTCGACGTGCCGTCGGCGCTTGCGAAATGGAGCCGACGCGCGCGCTTCCCGTGGTCCGCATGCCGCCGCGGCGCAATTTCATCGACAGGGCTTCCGCAGCTCGTCATGCGACCCCCCACACGTGTCGAACCACGAGAAGATGCTATAGGCTATAGGGACCACAATTTCCCTGATGATGGATCTACAGCTTGCGGCATCCAACAGGTGGGAGGCCACGACCGGAGATCTCTGGAAGGCCTACATGCAGTCCGACAAGCTGGCGAGGGAGAACAGGAAGCTGGACGCCGAGCAGCCACGCGGAGGACTACCAAATGTATCCTGGGCAACTCATCGAATTGGTGTCTTTTATTTCCGCAAGGGGCTGAAGCGGGATCTCGTGGAGCTGGGCTATCGCCAGAGCGCGCTGGACCCAACCGGGTTCATGCTTTTCCCCTGGGGCGCCCCCGTGCAGCGGCTGGTCCGTCTGGCGGATCTGGGAGGTCAACGAGGAGTTGCTAGACCTGGGATCCGGGCCCTGCCCGATGTGGAGGGAATCGTGGTCGTGGAGGTGGACGACATCTTTGACGTCGGTGGCGAACGCCACCAGCAGCGGACGACGGAGCCACGCAGTCGGAGGAGGTTCGGTAGTCCCCCGCGGCACTGGACAGCAGCAGGGCGCAGCGGGCCCGCACAGGCGGCCGAGGAGGCGCAGCAGCAGCCGAGGGAGGTGGGCCCCAGGAGGGAGCTGGCGCCCTGCCGGTGGTGCGGCGCGCACGGGCCTCCAGGGCGCAGGCCCCAGCACAGGCCGCGAGACCCGCTTCAGAGGCGGCTCGCCTGGCCCACGGGCGAGGGACGCCGCGCAGACGGGGACAGGCGCATCCTCGTCGGGCGGGATTTAATGGGGGGGGGTCATGGGATCAAAAAAGGTCCCCTTTCGTGCCCCTGTCGGGCCCCTCCAGAGCCCCAGGGGGCTCGTTTAGGTACCGTTTGGGTACCTTTTCGAACCACCCCCCCACTTATGACCCCCCCATTACGCGGCGCCCATCCTCGAGTGGGCGATCCATGTCCGGGACGGAGTGCTGGAGGACAGGTGCGCGGTGCCCGGCGCCGACGAGGACGAGGAAGGCGGTGGAGGTGGAGGCGACGGGGAGGCCGAGAGCCGACAGGGAGGGCGCCGAGACGCGGGCGACCGCGGCACAGACGCGCAGCGCGGTTGCGACCGCGAGGAGGAGGGACGCAGGAGAGGGAGAGGAGGAGGGAAGGGCGCCCACTGCAGAAGACAGGAGGGAGGTCAAGGAGGAGGAGGGAAGCGGCCCCGCCGCGGAAGCCGGGAGGAGGGAGCTGAGGAGGAAGAAGAGGAAGGAAGGGCGCCCGCCGCCAACGGCAGGAGGGAGGCCAGGGAGGTAGGAGGAAGAGCGCCCGTTGCCCAAGGCAGTCGGGCGGCAAGGAAGGTGAAGCAAGTGCTGCAAAAGACAGGAGAGCTGCAAGGAGGGGAAGGCACCTGATGCAAAAGACAGAAGGAGGACACCTACTGCAGTCGGGGCGTTGACCTGAGGAACCCTAAATAAGGAGCGAGGCCCGTTTTTTCCATAAGTTAAACTTCGATTTCCTATCGAAAACATAAGGAAAACCTGAGGCAAGCTGCGAAACACTTAAGGAACGCGGAGCCCCTCCCCAACGAAAAGGGTTCCTTCTTCAGGGCCCCGCATGTACCACACCCTCTATCTCGACGGCCCTGCTGTTTCACATTTCCCCCGGAGGACGTTCGGTAAGCTCAAGGCGCTGATGGCGGAGAAGGATGGCGCCATGTTCAACGGCCGCCACTACACCCAGGACGAAGGCTACAGTTTCCACGTGTCCATGAAGAAGTTCACAGAGGAGCGGCTGTCGCCGATAAAGGTACCAAAGGGAAAGGCTGGAGGTGATGCATGCTCAACCGGATAGCGCAGCCAAGCAAGAGCGGTGCTGGGTTCCCTGAACTGGCTCACGCAAGAGCTAGGTGCCGACGGGAGTGGACGATGCAGTCTGCTGCAGCAGGCGCTGAGTGAGCTCACGTAAGACGACGTGAAGGAGATTAACCAGCTGGTGAAGCATATGAAAGAAACCGCCGACCTAGGCGTCACGGTGTGGTCGATTCCGTTCCGTTCGAGGAGCTGATGTGCGTATACGTGTTGGACGAGAGTCTTCACAACAGCAGCGAAAGGGGGTCGCAGGGAGCCTTTGCTGTGCTGTCAACCGCTCGAGGAGTTGCTGCTGGACAGCGGCATCAAGCATGCCTGTTGGCGTGGAGAAGTTCGCGAATGAATCGAAGGGTGGACTCCACGCTGCACGCCGAGATCCAGACGCTCAACACGGGTGTGGCCGAGCTGGGGTGGATGGTCACGTTGTGTCACGAGTTCGCGTTCTCAGGATTTCGACTTGACGAGTGGGAGAGGTGGTGCGAGCAGCTTCGACTGTTGTCACTGGCAGGACGCAATGCAGTGAAGAGGGAGGCAGAATTTCTACGCAAGGGGCTATGTGTGGTGGTCGACTACCTGCAGCGCGAGACCACTGGAGGACGAGGCCGCAAGTGCTCCACATAGATTCAGATCATACTTGCGTCAAGCGATGAATGCCATGGGATACGAGATTCGGTGGGTCGATCATCCTGCGATGATCGTGGACGGCATGACGAAGCGCAGGGCCAAGATGGATCTCATGGTGGAGCTCATGCGGAATGGGTCGACGTGCACTGTAAATGAGGAGGATACCATGGAGGCTCACCGGCAGCGACGTGCTGCCGGACAGTGGCTGAAGGCCTCTACGTGTATAGTATAGGCTGAAGTGAGCAGAGATTCTCGGGAGCTGCAGATTTCTGGTGATGTCTGTGCTCTGTGCGCTTCCCTTCAACTCTCCATGTGCCCACGCCCGCCCAGCGCCATCGCCGTTGCAGGCCCGGGCTGGCTTGCCCCGCTTCCACTCGCTCTTTCCCGTTACCAACCCGTAACATACTGCATCTCCTCACGTCTCCCGCCTTTCTGATCGTGCGCTGTTCAATAAAGTGTGCGGGGCAACTTGAGACACCTGAGCGACACGGGCTGGAAAAGAGGTCAGCATCTTCGTCGTTCATATTGGTCCCCCGACTGCAGCTCTGAGGATCGGCCCGAAATCCACAACCACTCCTGAAACTAGTAGTGGTCCTCATTCCAGCGTCTTGGCTGCACGACGACGGCGTCGCTTCCTTGCAACGCCCCCCAACAAGACTGGATATGGGCACGATGCCCAACAACGAATGATCTCCAACACCGACAGCGGCCACTGCTGGGCAAGTGCCCCTTGCCTCAAATGGGCAACGTCCGCGGCGACACCGACAACAAATCCTGCTCAACACGGGCAGAATCACTGCTGCCAGGAATTCGTCCCCATGCACTCCGCACCCATGTTCAATGGAGCGGAGAACGACATCAACATAAGCTTTCGAAGGTCCGCACGGAGTTCTTGGATCGGTGTTAGACCTCCCTCCATGGCGCGCGGAGCGTGCCAGGGACGGCGCCAGAGCCGCCACAAAGGTGGTCCAGCGCCGCCCCAGAAATTCGCGCGGAGGTTTGACAAGTTATGTGTATGCTGAAGTCTCCTGTCATGTGGTGACGAAGGAGGTTCGCCTGATCGAAGGTTGGGGGCTTGAGCATGCTTCAAATCGGTTTTGTGTTTCCCACAAGGTGTCCTAGGGGTAAGACCCGACAAGGTTTCCCCGAACGTCCTTCTCCCCCACAAGGTGTCCTAGGGGTAAGACCCGACGAAGATAATGCTGATGGTGATAATGATTTGCCTTGGCTTCACTGTCTGTCCTCTCCCATGCGGAGAGGGTAGGCACGCCTCCCCCCAAGCTCTTTCCTCTTCGGTGCTGTCGGTATTCGTCCCCACGCCTTCCGTACCCAGCTCGATCCTCCCGAGGCCCAGCTGGCCTTCTGCCTGGGAGCCCCAGAGGACACGGTGGGCAAGGGCCCGTCCCGGCCGCGGGCGATCACGAGCTTCAGGAGCTGGCTGCGCTGGCACTCCTGCCGGTCGTCATCGTCGGTCGTCGCTTGCGGCCGTCGTCGTCACCGCCGCCGCCGTCGCCGCCGCCTTCGCCAGATTGGCCGCCGTGACGGTGGTGGTGGTCGTCGACGTCGTCGTGGCTGGTGGTCGTCGCCGTGGTCGTCGTCGTCGCTCGTTGTGGCGTTCGTGGTCGTGGTCGACGCCGTCGCCGACCGAGGTCGAGGTGGGGGTGGCGGTGGTCGTCGTCGCAGTCCTCGTCTGGCAGGGCGAGGCTCGCCGTGGTGGAGATCGTCGCTCCCCCTCCCCCTGGCCATCGCTCGGACGTCCACTCCCTGTGTTTTTTTTTCGGTGTCGTGCGTGTTTTTGTTCGCTGGATGGTCGAGGATGCTCCTCGATGGTCCTCGCCGAAGGAAAAATGCACACGTCCGAGCGATGCCAAGCGGGGTGGAAATCGTCGCGCCCCCTCCCCCGCTTCATCTCTCCGGCGCGCGAGCCTGGCCCAATCGCGTGGGCGGGCGCCTGTCCCGAGTGGCGGCGAAACGGTGCCGCGGCGCGCGCTGACAAATGCTGGCTGGATCGACCAGTCGGCGGCAGGCGGGCGCGGAGGGGGGCAGCGAGAGTCGGTGAGACCAGAGACCAAAGATCCCAGCGAGCCCATCCGCAAACTGCATGCCCTCCTCGCCTTGTTCCTCCCGCCACCTCCCTTGTTGTTCTCCTCCTCCCCCTCCTCCACCAGCCTCTCCGCCTTCTCCTCCTCACCAAGACAGCCCAAGAGCACCCCAACAGAGCCCCCAGGTTGGGCCTCACATCATATTGGTGCTGCGGCCCGTCGGCGCGTTCTCAGCTTCAGTGCTGCAATGGGCCTGCAGAGAGTGGTTCTGTGTGCTTTTAACAAATGGCTCGCGTTTTCAGCACAGGCATTTGCAAAACAAGCTGGAGAGCATCACCTGGCGTCCGTTGTTCGGCATAGGGTGGGCTTCAAACTGGGTTGTGCTCATCGTATTTCCCTTTACGCCTACGAGGTTTACCCCACGTGCGGAGATGTACCGAGGGACATGAGGCGCGGACAATAAGGTGAAGGTTCTTTCCCAAATTGGTCGTTGCGTGCTGTCTGCATCAATTTTTGGTCGAGCCGTGATGTGTCACATTCGCTCTGTTCTGGGAGGTGGCGTTTGGCAGCCCATGTACTTCGCGGAGGCCTTCTTCCTGGGCGTGCGCGTGCTTATCCTTGTCGTCTCGCTGTTCGATATGGTCAGGGTGCGCGTTAGTGTGACATGTGACATCGTCACGGCGTTCCTTCCTTCCTTCAGGGGGCCAAACGGCAGCGGTACATCCGACTTGAGTGGGGACTGCACGGGCGATAGCACAGCTCTGGGGGAGCAAGGAAACGTAGGAGAGCTCCAAACCATACACCACCACCAGCCCTGGACAGGCCCATCCTGGGCCCTGGACTGGTGTACGGGCTCTCCTGGCCCAGGCCTGGAGGTCTGTATACCAGTCCAGGGCCCAGGATGGACCTGGCCAGGGCTGGTGGTGGTGTATTGTTGGCGTCCCTCCCTCCACGGACACCTGGCCGGACGCGTCGGCGAGAGGCTTCCGCCCCGGGCCGTGCCGGCGGCGGCCGCGCGGTCCGAGCAGGGCCCCCATGGGGCCACGAGCGGCGGCACAGCAGCCGCCCCGATCTGTCCGAGGCGCCAGGTCGTATCTGTCAGCACGAACGGAGCGGGTCCTGAGGCGAAGCAAAAGCGGCGAAGGTATCCATACCTGTCCTTACGTCGGACCTGTCCTCGTACAGGGGGGGTTCTGAACGAAAGAGAAAAGCTCGAAACATGCCCCAGACATGGTCAAAAAGCATAGAAATTCGTCCCTGGACTATTTTGTAACTATTTTGTGAATATTCCCCCTGTAGAGGGACAGGCCTGACTTGCTGTTAGCATGAGGGGAGCGAGTCCTGAGGCGGACCAAAAGCGGCAAAGATAATTATCCATGCCCATCCCTGCTCTCGCGGTCTGGATACGGGGGCGTGGTCCCGCGGATGCGCGATCGCGCGGGTGCGTTCTGCGCGGGGCTCCCGCGAAACAGCGCCCCCTGGCGCGGTGGCCGGGCCCGCGAGGCCGCGGATGCGGGTACGATTCTCGCCCACGCGTCAAGCAGGTCCTGGACCCCAGGGGGGCCTCCCCCGGGACCCGACTGTCGGCCCGAGTAGATCTGTTGACAGTCTCAAACAGGTCCTGGACCCCAGGGGGTCTCCCCCAGGACCCGATTGTTGGCCCGAGCAGTTCTGTTGGCATTCCGAGGCCCCTTGGAGGGCCCCGAGAGCCTGAACATGGCAGAACACCTCGGGTCCCGGGTTTCCTCGGGACCCGCTCCCTCATGGCGAACATGTGGATCTGGGGTCCCAAACCCTCGGCGCTGGCGGCGACGGTAGCACGCCGCTGGCCGCACTCCTGCAGCATGCCGAGCGCGTCGAGCACGGCGCCGTTGACGCCGACGAGCACGTCGCCTGTGCGGCAGAAGCGCGCCGCCGCCGCTGCTCGGGAGAGGCAGAGTCAAGCTGCGGCCTCACCGACCCTGAGATCCTGGCGCCCTCATTAACTCACAATGGGACCACCACTGATAGATGCTGTGCCCCTCATTTGCCCTGTGCCAGACTCGATTCTGGGAATCGAAAAACTGATAGATCCGACCAACAAATGCGGCAAAAAATTGGGTATGAGGCTCCGGTCATGGTTTTTCGCATGGTGCAACTTTTCGCCGTCGCCGCTGCTCTGGAGAACCTGGTCAGGAACTTTTGCTCGGCGTGTCGCGGCGGCGGCCCTGGCGGCACGCTGTGCCCTGCGAGCTGATAGCGTGTCACTCCGCTCCGCGGGATGGGCGGCTCGAGAAGGCTCAGGACGCTGACGCCCAGGGACCGTGACGCGGTCAGCGTGTCGCGCCGAAGCATGGTGGGCCAGGATCGGCGGCGCGACTCGCTGAGCCAAAGTTCCTAACCGTCATGCTGGAGACTCACCGAAAGCCGAACCCGACTCTGGAAACTGGGAGTCCAAACGTTGTGACATCTCGCTCTTGCTTCTAGCGTCTAGCGTCTTCCGCTGGCCTTCTGCCGAGGGCCAAGATGCGCCGACGCCACGACGCGCTGTCTGGAACGCGCCCATCGGAGCCCCTTGCCTCCAACCGGACTTAGCGTCGCCGGATCTGGGCTAAGTGTAGTGGGGAGTTCGCAAGATGGAGCATGAAGGAAGCGGGTCTCAAGTGAGCGTTCTCTTTTTCGGCGTTTCGACACTGGGCGGAAGGGGGGGGAAGGCCCCGGACCTCTGCTTAGTGCGACTGTTTGGAACCATGCGCCCTCTCGGGGGCGCCCCCCCCGCATGCTTGAAGCAGGCGCCAAAACAGCCAAGATCTACTCCCTGGGGGGGAGAGGGGGGTGCGAGGGCCTGCGCCGATCGGCGACACAATGAAAACAACGATCACCAGAGGAGGACGAGGAGGAGGAGGAGGAGGAGGAGGAAGAGGAGGAGGAGGAGAAAAGGAGGAGGAGGAGAAAAGGACGAGGAGAAAAGGAGGAGCAGGAGGAGGAAGAGGAGGAGAAAAGGAGGAGGAGGAGGAGGAGGAGGAGGAGCGCAGGCCGATGCGCCCTCAGGAAGGCACGAGTGCCGACCTGAGCGTCCAGTTCGAGTCAATGGCTCGGCTGCCCGCGCGAAACGCGGCCCGAGCAAAGAGAAAGGAGGCCCCTCCACACCCGCGCTGACCTACATGAATGGCCCCCGTTCTTCAAGAGGCGCTGATGGGCCAGCAAAGCCCTTCGTGTCTGAAAAATTAGCCCGCGCTTCTCCCCTGAATGTCGGCCAGGTCGCAAGCCCGGATCGCCGTCGGCGGCGGGGGTGCCCCAGGATCTCCAGCAAGAGCCTCGGGGTCAACAGGGGGGCCACGCAGACCAGCGGGCGGAGGAATGGCAACCGTCTTGGCCGCTGCGCGTAGACCCCCAGGGTCGAGCACCAGGAACTGCTCACGAATATCCTCATCCAGGAGGAAGGCCCACGCGCGCAGCCTCTCCGAAGGTTCCTCCGAGGACCCCGAGAAGAGCCGCGACTCGAGCAGTTCCGCCTCAGGCTTCCGAACGAGGCCCAGGATGTGGGCATGCGGATAGGCCTGAGAGAGAAACCACCTCTGCTCGCTCAACGTGGGATGGTCCTCGACAGGCAGCTGTCCGAAGATCACTCCAAACCCATGCGGCCGTGCGCCTGGGCAACGGACCCGTCCCAGCTGGCGCCGCAACCGCCGCGCATGCAACTCAAATCTCAACGGCGCCGCCCCGCTGCGACGGAGGGCGGCCGCGCCTGCGAGGGCCCTACGTCGAAGCACGGGCTTCAAGGGCATCTAGAACGGGTTGTCACCCTTCGCCCTGCTCCTCCACATTCTGACGCGCGCCCCCCTCCTATGAGCTTTCTGGCGAAACCGACAAGTACCCGATCGAATCGACGTTCCTGCGATTCGGGAAGCACCGAGGCCGTTGGGCCCGAAAGGGGAGCACACTGGACGACGGGCCCGAAGACGGTGCGCGTGAAACGTCATACTCGATTCTTCGACCGGAACCTGCCCATGGAGTAGCAGCCCCGCCTGCATGGCATAATACGCCACTGAAGACCCCCCCTTGACACCCCCGTTCATGGCCGCCTGAATACCAGCGCAATGTTGTCAAACTGAACCCGACCACGGAGCGCAACCTTCCCCCCGAGCGCAGCGGCATTATCGCACTTCGAGCCTGGAACGACGAAGGATGGCGAAACGCTGCTTGTTCCTGATATGTGAGCGCAGCCGTCGATCGGCAGCGAGTCTCGCAGGTTCGCGCGCGCGTGCTCCAGGGTGTACTCGGCGTCCTGGACCGAGCTCACGATGTGCGTCTTGTTGGCGTCGCCCGCGTAGACCCTGCGCGACAAGTCGACAGGGCGCGGGGGAATCGGGGTCCATGCCGCGCATATCGCCTCGCTCGGCCACAACGTCATATCGGGGTTGGCTGGCGACGTCCTTCCAAGCCCATTCGGCTTCACAAATCAATTGCTCCGCGCTAGCATCTAGGTGTGCTCGCCGAAGTTGTCGCAATCTTAGACTGCGCCGACTCAGGAGCATGCTCGAAACCAGGTCGCCCGTTCCCTCGTGCCTGCTGTCGCTCTCGAAGTAGTTTGATGCGCATCTGCTGATGCTCTTGCAACTTCGGGTCGTCTGTGGCGCGCTTCTCAAAATGTCGTTCCGCCGACGGATAAACCGCGGTGGCCCACCTGGCCCGCGCGTCATCGGGAGCCCGCTCATGCAGAAGCAGCCCGTGGAACATCTGGAGATGCCTCGCACTGCGTCTCCAGGCTCGCCATGAACTCAGGCGCGCCCGCCCCTGCCTTCAACGCAGTCGCTAGACAGTCGAAGTCCCAGCGCGTCGGTGGCTGCACCAATGTGCTCAAGCGGAAGCTGTAGTCTGCAGTCCAGCTGCATCAAGATGGGGACATGGTCCTGCAGGCCCGCCCGCCCTCCGAACTTCAATAGGAGATTCGACCGCGTCAAAGGTACACGCGTTCGAATCGACTCCAGCTGCAAAGAGAAGACCGCAATCTGATCGATGCTGCTGGACGAGTGCGAGCCTATGCAGGTGTCGCCTACAGGATAGAACGAAGTAGTCACCACCACCGCATGTCGCTCCTTCAACTCCAGCAGTTGGATCGGTGCGTAGAGCTGCTCGCTGCGCGCGCGCGGCCCAAGCGAAGGGGACAGCACCCAGTCCGCGATACCTCCCCGACGGGGACGCCAGCCGAACGACTCGTTCAGATCGAACCCCATCATGAGTGCCGAGCGTCGCTTGGACCACGCCAGCACCTTGCCCATCCGCTGCAGCGTCACGTCTACGGTCGCCTGGTAGCGCGCCCGGGTCTCCGCGCAACTGACTCACGGCCCTCGCGGCGTGCACTCGGCTGAAAATGGAAGTGCAGCACAGGCAACAACACATCGAACCTTCGAACCTCCCCGAGCGAAGTCTGAACACTGCCACTCTGCCCTGCAACGCTACGGGCACCGCGGGGATGTCCACTACGTCACGCCTCTTGAAAACTCTTTTTCTCAGCACCAGCGCGATCCCACAAGATTTGTTCACATGCGTCCCCGCCTGGCACCCGCATTTCACCACGAAATGATACGACATATCCGAATAAAGTGATTAGCGGATTGGTGCCGCTCGTTCGCCAGTGCTGGCGGCTGCCACAATATCTGCCCATTTGAATCCATCCGATATGTCACTCAAGCGCTCCAGATCCGCACTCAGGTAGTTCCAGTGCACATATGTGAGTATGTTCGCCGCCGCACACACAAACATAACAAAAAACGATCACTACATATAGTAAGGAGGGTGTGCGCGCGAGGGGGGGACAGCGGCCTGAAGGGCGCCGCAGCGAGAGATACCTGCTGCGATCTCGGTGCCCACCAGCCCCTGGACCTACAAACACCTGGGCAGGGGGGGGGCAGGAGGAGGAGGAGGAGGAGGAGGAGGAGGAGGAGGAGGAGGAGGAGGAGGATGAGTAAAGGAGGGGAGGAGGAGGAAGAGGGAAGGGAAGAGGAGGAGGAGGGAAGGAGGAAGAGGAGGAGGAGGAGGAGGAGGAGGAGGAGGAGGAGGAGGAAAGGGGGAGGAGGTGATGGGGGGAGGAGAGAGGGGGGAGGAGGATGAGGAACGGGAGGCCTGCTCCCCCCCCCACATACGAGGCAGGCGCTCAGCCCAAGCGTCGCCCACGCAGATCGCCCGGGGCGCGTCGCACAGCCGGTTCCACGCCGCCGCCGCCCCGCCCGGCTCGACGCCCTCGATGCGGAGGCCCTTGCCCTCCCACTCGCTCGAGATCCTGCCGCTCTCTAGATGGGGAGGCACTGCGTAGCCGGGGTGGCGGAAGACGCGGCCACCCTGCGCGCACCTTCAGGCCCCCAGGGGGGCCCCGAAGGTGCACGACCGGTGCACCTTCCTTCACCCCTCTCCCATGCACGCCCCCCCCGCTGCTGCTCCATCAGCGTCCCCCCGCGGGGGGGGTAGTAGGATCGGCGGCGGGCGGCGGCACCATGCCAGCTGTGATGGCGGCGGCGGCGATCGGCGAGCGACGAGGATGACGATGGAGACGGTGACGGACGGCGGCGGCGGACGGCAACGACGGCAGAGGACGGCGGAGGGACAGCGGACGACGATCGACGGCGGACCCACGACGGCTGAGGGACGACGGGCGGGGCGGGCGACGACAACCGACGTCGACGGCGAGGGTGAAGTTGACGGTGACGACGGCGAACGCGCCGAACCTCCGATGCATCGGCCATGCGAAACGTGCCTCCGACCCCATCTGCTCACGAGCGTCGCGGTCTGGACTCCAGCTGCGCGGCTCCGCGGATGCGCGGTCGCACGGATGCGTTCCGCGCGGGGCACCCGCGAGCAAGACGTCCCGTAGCCGCGGGGTCGCGGCCCAGAGGCCCGGCCCGCGAGGCCGTGAATACGGGTGATGGTGGTGATGCTGGTGCTGATGATGCTGATGCTGCTGCTGCTGATGGTGGTGACGACGACAGCGACGAGAACGACAACGACAACGACGACGACAACAATGATGGTGATGGTGACGATGACGATGCTCATGATGATGTTACTGCTGCTGATGATGTTGGCGATGATGATGATGATGATGATGATGATGATGATGATGATGATGATGATGATGGTGATGATGATGGTGATGATGATGATGGTGATGATGATGGTGGTGATGATGATGATGATGACCGCTGGGCGGTCGCCCCACGGACGCCGAGGTGCGCAGGCTGCTGGTAGAGCAGCTGACCCAGGCGGCATCATCATCCTCCTCATCATCAG